GACACAGATAGCACCTGTACATGTACCAGACACAGGTGGGGAGACTGTACATGTACCAGACACAGGAGGCAGACTGTACATTTACGCAGACGCCGGTGGCAAGACTGTACATGTACCAGACACAGAGGTCAGACGTACAAGTACCAGACACAGGTGGCTTAGACTGTACATGTAACCAGACAAAGGTGGCAGGCTGTATATGTTCCAGACACAGGTAGCATACTGTACATGTACCAGACACAGGAGGCAGACTGTACATTTTCCAGACACAGGTGGCGGACTGTGCAGTACCAGAACACATGTGGCAGACTGTATATGTACCAGACACATGTGGCAGACTGTACATGTACCGGACACATGTGGTAGACTCTACATGTACCAGACACATTTGGCAGACTGTACATGTACCAGACACAGGTGGCAGACTGTACATGTACCAGACACAGGTGGCAGACTGTACATGTACCAGACACAGGTGGCAGACTGTACAGTACCAAACAAGTAGCACTCTGTTTCAGTAACCAACACAGGTGGCAGCCCTTCAAGTACCTGACGCAGTTATGCACAATGAATATGTACCAGGCACGGGTGGCAGACTGTACATGTACCAGACACAGGTGGCAGACTGTAAATGTACGAGACATAGGTGGCACACTGTACATGTACCAGACACAGGTGGCAGACTGTACAAGTACCAGACTCAGGTGACTGACTGTACATGTACCAGACACAGGTGGCAGACTGTTCATGTACCAGACACAGGTAGCACACTGCTGTAAAATGTACGAGACAAGGTGGCACACTGTACATGTACCATCACAGGTGGCAGAACTGTCCAAGTACCATACACAAGTTAAACTGACTGTACATGTACCAGACACAGGTGGCAGACTGTTCATGTACCAGACACAGGTAACATACTGGACATGTAATAGACACAAGTGGCATCATCTGTACAAGTACACAAGACACAGTGGCACACGTACATGTATCCAGACATATTGTAGACTGTTACATGTACCAGACAAAGTGGCAGCAGTACATGCACCAGACACAGGTGCCAGAAAGTACATTACCAACACATGTGCAGATTTGCAGGACCAGACCAGGTGGCAGACTGTACATTTCCCCCCGGGGGCAGACTTACATTACCAAACAGGGGGGATGAAATGTACAGACCGTGCGGCTGTCATGTCCAGACACGGTGGCGGGTGTTTTTTGGGCCGGGCCATTGGGGTTTTTCTGTACCACACATGTGGAGATTAAGTCCAACAATGGCAGCTGACTGTACCAAACCAGGGCAACTTACATGTACCAGACAAGTCGCTTACAAGTACCCGAAACCCCGGTTTGAGTTCGGGCAAGACACAGGGGGCGACTGTTCATTACGAACATGGGGAGTTTCATGTACCAACACAGGGGGGCGACTTTTCATGTCCCAAAACAGGGGGCGACGACATGTCCGGCATGGTGGGACACTGTCATGACCAGACATAGTGAGACTGGCAAGTACCAGACACAGGTGGAAATACATGTTCCAAACAGGTGGGGAGATGTCATGACCAAAAAAGGGGCAATTACATTACCAGACAACGGTGGGAGCTTCATGTTTTAAACCCAAAACAGGTGGGGGCTGTACAGTACCAGACACTTGCAATTCATGTACCAGACAATGGCAGCGTCATTTCCAGACAAAGGGTGGAGACTGTACAGAAAAAAGGGGGGACTGTTGCACGGGACCCAACCCCAAAAAGTGCAGACTGTACAATACCGACACAGGTTTGAGATAAAGTACCCGTCCCAAAGGGGGCAAATGTCATGACCAACATAGGGTCGACTGACAGTACCGACACAGTTGGGGAGACGTACAGACCAGGCAGGGGCAACTGTACAATACAGACAAAATGCAATGTACAAGTACAGCCGGTGGCATTTTCGTACCAGACATATGTGGGGACGTAAAGACCAACAAAAAGGTGGCAGACTGTCAAGTACCCCGACAAGGTTTTTAGTTTTACAGTACCAGACACAGGGGGCAGACTGTACATGTACCAGACCGGGCAGACTGTACAAGTAACCCGGCACAGTTTCAGGTGAAATTTCCAGAAAGTGGCCAAATGACGTTCAACACAGGTGGCAACTGTACAGTACCAACACGGTGGGGAGATGTACAGTACCAACACAGGGGGCAGATGTACGTCCCGAACAGGGGGAACTGTACTGTAAACAGCACAGGTGCAAGGTACATTACAGAACGGGGGAATTTTACAGCAGACACAGGGGGCAGACTGTACATGTACCAACCAGGGCGACTTTTTGACCAAAACAGGTGGGAGCTGACAGTCCAAAATAGGTTGCACACTGTTGATGACCCAAAACGTGGTAGATTTTCAAGTAACAGACACTGGACCACTGTACATGTCCAACAAAGGGGGCAGCTGACATTACCAAAACAGGTGGCAGACTACATGTTCAACAGGTGGAGACTTACATTTACCCCGACACGGTCAACGTACATGTACCAGACACGTGGGACCTGTACATGTACCAACAAAGTGGCAGACCGTACAGTACCAACACAGGTGGAGACTTTCGACCAGAAAAGGCAGACTGTAATGACCCGACAAAGGTCCCAACTGTTCAAGTCCAACCAAGGGGCAGACTGACAGACAGACCAGGGGGCAGACTTACTGACCAGCAAGGGGCAACGTACAAGACCAACAAGTGGAAGCTGTAAGTACGAACAGGTGGCAGTATAATTACCCAAAAAGGTGGAGATTGTACATGTTTTTCCCGAGCAGGTGGCAGACGTAATGTTTCAGACACGTGGCAGACTGTACATGTACCAGAAACGTGGCAGTCTGTGCATGTACCAGACAAATTTACAGACTTTAACATGACCAGCACAGGGGGGCAAATGTACATGTACCCGACACAGGTGCAGAGTCAGGTACGAGACCAGGTGGCTGTCAGACTGTACAAGTACCCCACCGTAGATTTCAAAAACAACAATGAAATGTTAAAATTAAAAAATTTTTTAACAATTTTTTGCTCCCTTCCTTTTTCCTACCTGCTCTGTCTTGTCCTGCTTGCCCTGTATTGCCCTGTCTTTTCTGCTTTCCTTTTCTTTCCCTGTCTTGGGGCCCGTCTTCCGCTTTCCTGTCTTGCCCGTCGCACTTTTGTAAAAAAATTGTGTTTTCATTGACAAAAAAAAATCAGTTAGTCACAGGGGCTTGTTTCCCACACCACAG